CTTATGGCCTTTCATGAACCGCGAAGTGTATCAACGGCAACGATCCCCGAGACTCCGTGCCCCGACCAAGCCGGCGGCACAACACACGTGAGCATACGGAATTTCCTCGATCTCCCAGAACCGGTTGATTTCACGGCTCAATGCCTGCGATGGACTGCAATAATGAACCGTGAGATGGAGGTTATCTGAGGAGGAGGATGGACCGACAGAGAGAGGACCAGAAATGATCCACCCGAAGATGGAATTTTGCGCAATTGGCTTTCCAGGGCGGCCCTTTTTAACTCCGTCGAGAATGATATCCCCGTAGAGATCCGCTCCTATTAATATGTGGATTGGATCAGAGCTGGTAGGATCTGTGTCCGCCCAGACAAGATTCGAGATATGCGAAAGATTCGAGAAGTCGGACCGACGTTTCGGAGCATATGATGTCAAAGAGTCAAGAATGAGGGCCGTAGTTGATAACAACGGAGCTACAGCGTCGCGAGGAGAGATTGAGATATCCGCGGCGTGTCTCACGGATCCGAGTTTGACGCCGCCTACGGCCGAAATTGTAGTCGGCATCCGTATGCGCTTTGCTCGGAGAGTCTGTGCTAGTGACTCGGAAATGAACGTCGCCTCTGAGCCCTGATCAATGAGGGCTCTCAATACGATAGAACGCCCAGAGGATACACTGATCTTAACGCGCGCGGTCGCGAGGAGTACGTGAACCCGATCGCGAGTCGTCGCGGACGCGAGCAGCGACGTTACATCAGTGGACGCAGCGCTAGTTTGCGCGGACTGCGTTGCAAGCGCTTGGGATGAGACGACACTCGAGGCAGAATCCGAGTCCACATGGAGTAGTGTATGATGTCGCTTCTGGCAAGTGCGACAAGTATACTGGCTTTTACAGTCTTGAACAGAATGAGCGGCGCTCAGGCAGTTGAAACACCGCTTGAGGCGCTTGACTGTTTCTCGGCGTTGAGTCGGACTCTGCTCGGTGAACTTTACGCATGCACTAAGATAATGACGGGCCTTGCACAGGGGGCACGCCGTCGCCGCGGTGGCAGACGCATTTGCCACATGAACGCGAGGATTCGTTGTCTTCGTTGGTTTCGCTGCCGCCGCGGGACTACTGTCTTCGAGCGCGCGAATACAAGAGGCAAAAAAGCCCGTGAGCTCCTCGTATGTCGGAGGAGTTTCCGCGTCGCTAGCCTTCAAGTTCCATGACTTCCGGGTAGAGGGGTCTAATTTTTGCGATAACAAATGAACAAGACAGTCGTTCCAAAGATCACTTGGTGTACGATTGAGGCCTTTAAGTGATGCGACGGCAATATTAACTTTGTTGCAGAGAGCCTGCAACTCGGGGACGGACTCACGAGCTACTCCGGTTAATCCCAGCAAGGACGAGAAGTGAGAGGCAATGAGGCGCCGTTTATTTTCAAAACGAGTCTTTAGGGCGCTCCAAGCAATGGTGAAGTTATCTGATGTAACCGCGATATTGCTAATACTATCAAGGGCTCGACCCTTTATGGAAGACGCGAGGTAGTGCATGCGTGCGAAGTCACTATGAGATTTATTCTTAACGATCAGCGCGGTAAACCGGTCGCGAAAGTTTTCCCACTCGGCATAACTCCCGTCGAACGGCGGCAGGCGAATTTGCAGAAGCTGCGACATAGAGAGCGCAGAAGTGACGGGACGCGAGATGCTAGAATCGAGAGACGGATTGGCGCTTACGACCGGTTCGAGTTCCTCGAGAGCCTCCGTCATGTACTCCCAGGTTGATTGGAAGGTTTCCTCGGTGTTGTCGAAGTGGTCGGATTGGAAGTAGTCCATGGCGGCTCGATCAGATTCAGCAATCGTCTTCAAAAGGTGGGCGTGGCCATCTTGGAATTGTGCCCAATTAGATTTTAGAGATGCGATCCGAGTACGGATCTTCGCCGGGGTGAGATTGGCCCTGCCAATCTTTTTGAAGTTCTCCTCCGCTCGTTCAATAGAGCGTTGGAGCACGGTCTGTTTGGTCAAGATATCAGTCATGATGCGATGCAGTTAGTCTCACAGAATTCACTGACAGTTCCGTCCCAAAGATCGCCTACACACAATTTCACGATCCGGCTCGAAGGACCAGCAATGTGCACGACAAGCGCGGTATCCTCAGTTCAGGCACGCGCGCAGAAGACCGCCGGAACCGCTCAGCGCTGAGCGCGGAAATCGTGTAGCGCAGATGCGAACACCTGCTGTAGGGATCAAAGGTGATGGACGACACACAAAGAGAAACGCTCCGATTTGAACTCTCAAAACACAGTAACTTTATTGTTCTCAAAACGAAGGACGAAGGAGACGTTCGTTGCACACACGGGCGACTGCGGGGCAATAGGCGGCAGAGGTCAAACGGACGGACATCTTCCGAACCCGTAAATCCTGCTTGGATGGCGCGGCGGAAATCTTGACGAGCGTTGCATTAACGCCCAGCCGATTCGGACAATCTTGCTCGCGAGGCCGGAAATCTTGTCACAGAGCAGGGGGTTCTCGTGAGCGCGAACCGCCAAATGTTATGCCGTTACCGTGCCCGTGCAGCTATATCTCGCACCTTATCATTAAACACTTACCGCACACAAATTTGAACAATTACCGCACGCACGCTAGAGAAGTCGCTTAATTAGATATGTACAAAGAACCGCGTTGACCGGAGACGCGGATGAGCGGGTGGACCGGAGCGCGAGCACGTGGAGCGCGTCGAGGAACCGTTCGCGAACCGAGTTGAGCACTGAACGGCGAGAGCGTCGAGAACGGCGCTGAAAATCTGGAAGAGAGATCTCGGTCGCGAGGTCCGCGTACAAGACAAGAGCGCGGGCACACGCGGAAGCGATGCAGGCAGTCTTTGTGCTTAAAGGGCGGACTCGCGCGAGGATGCTCACGTCACCTGTTGTAATACGAGACTGAACGCGGAACGACCGATTCCGCGGGCGCAAAAAGGCGGCAGAAAGATAATTGGCTGAGCAACATCGTGCGACGCGATCACCGAATAAGATGCCGGCACAAAAAATTCGGCCATACGCTCAATACGTGCCCGCGCCGTGCTATCGAGATCTAAACGGGCGCGAATTCTTGGGCCGCGGCAGCGGCCACCGGGAAGGCGGGGTGCATTCGTTTCGCACCAGACACAGTCTCCCTGGCGAAAATTCTGAGCTGGTTCTCCACCATTTCGGCCTGTGGTTCAGCGAATGCAAGTACTCCGCGGCCCATCGATCCCAAAAGTGACTCCGCATCCGCTGCACCATCGGCCTCCGCGACAATTGATGGTCTCCTGATTGCAGAGGCGCGGGCTCCGGGATAGTGAGCAGCGATGTACCTACGAGAAAGTGATCCGGAGTTAAAGCAGTTATGTCGTCGGGATCGTCGGTCAAGGCCAGGAGAGGACGTGAGTTGAGGCACGCCTCTATTTGTGCGAGGAGGGTAGTCATCTCCTCAAAGGTAAGTGTAGCATCACCCACTACTCGTCGGAGATGATGCTTGAGCGACTTGACTGCCGCCTCCCAGATTCCACCGAAATGTGGGGCCGAGGGCGGATTGAATCGCCAAGTCACTCTCTCAGCAGCCAGTGCCGCTCCAATCTGACGCCCCTCGGAGGTGCTAGCCCGGAAGAGCGCTCGTAGCTGCGAGTCAGCACCCACGAAGTTTGTACCACAGTCAGAGTACAGTGTCTGACAAAGGCCTCGCCGGGAGACAAAGCGTCTGAATGCCGCCAGGAATCCAGCTGCGGTGTAGTCGGAGGCCACTTCCAAGTGGACGGCCTTGGTGCCTAAACAAACAAAGACCACAAAGAAGGCCTTGTGAGCCTTATGGCCGCGGCCCCTAGAGGTGCGAAGCATGACGGGTCCGGCGTAGTCCACTCCGGTATGCTGGAACGGCCGAGATGCGTTGACTCGGGGATGGGGGAGACCGCCCATGATCTGCTGCGGCACAGCGGCGCGCCATCGTATGCAAGGTAGACATCGGTGAATGTGCCGTTTGACCACCATGCGGCCACGAGAGATCCAATACCGTTGACGCAGGATGCTCAGGGTAAGTTGGACTCCGCCGTGGAGGGCTCTTCTATGGCAGGCGTCCACGATTAAATGTGTGAGTGCCGAATCCTCTGGCAGTATGATCGGATGTTTTTCATCAAACGACAGCAGTGAGTGTTTGAGTCTGCCTCCCACTCTCATGATTCCAAGCTGGTCGATGAACGGACTCAGCTTGGCGAGTGAACCACCGCTGCGTAATAGTGCCTTGTTTTGTAGGGTGTTCAAGGCATCCTTGAAGAATTCAGATTGCACCACCCGGATCCAGGCCTTCAGGGCGGCCTCCAACTCAGCAGCTGCCAACGGGCGTACCTCATTCCCTGTCGCCTCATCCCGCTCATCGCCGACTGCGGAAGGGAGCCTGCGCATGGCTCGCCTACACCAAGCTGTAATGCGCAACAGCCGTGATAACGACGAGTACCGTCGCAGAAGGTCAGGCTCGGCCACGGTGGCCACGTGCGAGGCGACAGGAGGCCTCCGTTGCTCGGGCACGTCAGCCGCGGTTTCAGTCATCGTGTGCGTCGTCCAGGGTCCTGGAGAAGACGACAGCCACGATGGTCCGTGCCACCATAGTCCGAAGGTTGACAGCGCGCTGGGAGCAAGGCCTCGAGACGCGCAGTCCGCGGGATTCTCCTTTCCTGCAATGTGATGCCAGCGGGCCGACGGGACAGTGCTTTGGATGTCCGCTACTCTATTCGCGACGTATGTCTTCCAGCGGGACGGATGTGCAGTGATCCACGTCAGTGCGATGGTGGAGTCGGACCACAGGTGGATGGGGGCCTGGAGTCCCAACGTGCGTACAACGTGCGCAGTGAGCCGCGCCAAGAGGTGTGAGGCGCAAAGCTCCAGACGAGGTAAGGACACCGGCTTGATAGGAGCGACCTTGGACTTGGCGCACATCAAGGTCACTCTGAACTTATTGTCATCTGTTTTAGCTCGCAAGTACAGTACCGCTGCGAAAGCCCTCTCTGATGCGTCAGCGAAGCCATGGACTTCTATCGAGTGCTCAGCTGCTCCATGACACAGCCAACGCTCAATCCGGAGAGCGCCCAAGAGGGGTAGCTCCCTTTGGAATTGCTGCCAATCATCCTGGTCTCCTTCAGCGAGAGGGGTGTCCCAGTCGAGGCCTCTCAAACAGGCCGTCTGGATGAACAGCTTGGCTCGCACAGTGACTGGTGCAATCCACCCCAGTGGGGAACAGCTGGGCCACGCGTGACAGGATGGCTCTCTTAGAGGCAGCCACAGAGCTTTCCTCCTTGACGGAGAAGGAGAAGTGGTCGCTGTCTGGGTGCCACTGCACGCCGAGCATCGCGTGCGACTCCGAGGGCTGCCAAGAACGGTGAGTACTCTGAAACAAATCAAGATCCGGAAGACCCGCCAAAAGCTCAGCAGTGTTTGCGGACCACTTTTTCAGGGGGAATCCGCCCGCCCTGCAAATCCCGATCAGCTCATCTCGAACTCTGAGTGTCTCACTGAGGGTTGAAGCTCCAGTGAGGATGTCGTCGACGTACGAATCTCGACGAAGTGCCGCCGCTCCCACGGGAAATCGTGCCTCCTCGTCCGCAGCCAACTGCTTGAGGGTCCGGATGGCGAGGAAGGGTGCACATGCCAGTCCGTAAGTTACGGTATTGAGAGTGTAATCCCGCATGTCCTCGTGCGCATTGTCTCGCCATTTGACACGTTGCAGATTGCGATCGCTTGGATGTACCTGGATCTGGCGGTACATCTTTTCGATGTCCGTGGCGATGACGTAGCGAGGCCACCTCCACCGCAACAGAACGTCGAACAATGCTGGCAGCAGATTTGGTCCCACTAGCAAATGGTCATTCAGCGTCTCTCCGTTTGCCAAGGGGGAAGATCCGTTGAAGACCACGCGAAGTTTTGTTGTGGTACTTGCCTCCTTGAGCACGCCGTGATGGGGAAGGTAGCAGCAACCAGGAATGGTACCGTCCAGCTCCACCCGTGACATGTGCTGCAAGGATTCATATTCATGCATGAAATTTTTGTACATAACTTCCAGAGTGCTATCCCGAGAGAACCGAGTTTCCAAGCGTGCCAGCATTCGCGCCGCGGTCCTGCTGGTTCCCGTGAGGTCTGGCAATGGTTGTCTCAGCGGGAGTCGTACAATGTACCTGCCCTCGGGAGAGCGTATGTGAATGCGATGGAATATGTCTTCGCACTCTTCTTCGTCGTGGTCTGTGGCAGCTCCTCTTGCTCCCAGAATCGTCGTACCAGTGCAGTGAGGTCATCTTCGGCATGGCAGTGATTCACACTGACGGTACTGGCTTTGGTCTCATCGGCCTGAGATGAGCCAACCTAACGTGGTATTTTGTGCAACAGGTTCCTTGGGGCCGCCCTTCCTCAACCCCTGTTGGATGATTGCAGCGTGGATCTCGGCTCCGAGCAACAGCTCAATGGGATCGTCTGCTGAAAACTCAGGATCAGCAAGCGACAGGCCTGAGAGGTGGGCCCAGGAGCTAGTGCTCACCCGCCTGCCACCGCAGTACTCCGTCAGCCGAGGTAAGATGTGAGCATGTACGCGATACGACACTTCGCCGTCCACTGGCGACATGGTCACTGTCACGGACCCCTTCGTGGTACTCGTCTGATGTCCTCCTACCCCGAACACGCGCACAACTGATATCGCGCGCCGCAACCGCAATCGCTGCGCTAAGGATTCGGTCACGAAAGACGACTCGGAGCCCTGGTCGATTAGCGCGCGAACGGGGTGTTGCGCACCGAATCTGTCCGTCAGCCGCACTCGCGCAGTGGCCAGCAACACGGCGGATTTAGTCGCGGCCCGATTGTGGCTGATATGGGCGGTGGTAACGGGAGGCGCTTCCACGGGACCGCGATAGGCGTCATGCAACGACGAGTGGTGCTTGGCACAGCACACCGAGCACGTCCGCTTCGACGAACAGTCATTAAGTCGATGACGACCAAGGCAGTTGAAACATAGTCCGTGAGCTTCGACCGCGCTCTTACGATCGGCCGGCTTTTTTTCCTTGAATTTGGGGCACACCATCAGGTAATGACCCTCCTGGCACAGAGGACACGAATCGGTTGTTTGGTCTTGTTTTTTCGCGTGATGTACGCGTGTAGACCGCGCAGAGTTGTCCACCTTAGCCACGTCGCCCTTCGCCCCCTGGACTGCCTCGAGTGTGTGTAACCGGCGCTCAAGGAACGTCTTAAGCGCGTCAAAGCTAGGTGGATCGGTGTTGTCGTTCAACGACCCCTCCCATTCGCGACGCGACTTTGGATCGAGCAGTTCGGAGGCGAGGAACACGAAAAGATCCTCGGACTTGTTTATCGGGCGCCCGATGCCCTCCAACGTATCGACCGTGTTTACCACGCAATGGTATAGCTTCCGTAGCTCGGTCGCTGACTCACCCTTCATCTTGGAGAACGATGTGAAGGTCGCGAAAACGGAACGTACCATGATCCGCTTGTTTTCGTAGAAACCTTGAAGGGCTGACCAAGCTCGAGAAAAGTTTTTGTCGATCGTTGGTAGAGCTCTGACATGTAATTCTGCTTCTCCTTTCAGGCACCCCTTCAAGTAGTGTAGCTTCTCCACCTCACTGAGGGAGGCGTCTCGGCTAATGATTGATGTGAAGAGGTCTCGAAAGGATGGCCATTCCTCGTACTTGCCATTGAAGGTTGGCAATTGGATGCGTGGTACAGTCGTCTTGTTTGCTGCAGAGTCACTCGGCAGTTTCTTAGTCTCCCCGAGCGGTGGTAGGCTTGCTTCCCAAGCGAGCAGTAAGGCTCGTTGATGCACGTACGTGTTTTCGACCTCTGAAGAGACGTCGCTCGTCAAGTACTCGTGGTCCGCCAGTGCGGCGGCGTGATTTGAAAGCAGCGCGTCGTGTCCGCTCTCGAATCTCATCCACTTGTCTTCGAGTAGCTTGAGCGCGGTCGTGATATGAGCTCGAGTGATGTTCGCCTGTCCTGTCTTCTTTAAATTGTCACAGGTACGCCCTATGCGACCATGAAGGTCGAGTTGTTTCATTACACCCTGTTCCATCTTGTAGGCACTGCGCTCACCAGAACACGATCGGTTGCGAGGCTGTCACCCCAGCGCGGGCTTGAAGGACGGAATCCGGCTCGAAGGACCAAAAATGATGGAGTCGGGTAGAGCGAGCACGTGGAGCAGGATTAAACCGATTAATTAAACGAGACAGAATGTAACATAAGCTTCACTTTAATAACTTGAAACGCACAACGAAAATTAACAAAAAACTTAGAACGGTGACTGAATCCGCGCACGCACGTGTGACTTCTCTCTCACGAAAGCTGTCGAGCGAAAGGCTCCGCGGCAAATTTCGCCAGGCCTTTTATATCGAGAGAAGCTCTGGAAGCTTCGATGTTCGCGAAGGAACAGGTCCCGTTAATCGGACGGTTGCGAAAACAATTGTGTTTAGGGATGAGGTTGCAATTTTCAGGTCGCCAGATTGGTCGGGGCGACTAGTGCGGGCAGCCACCATTGGCGCCGAGTCGCGATTCCCGCCGCGCGAAGCGAGCTGTCGTTGGCGCACGAGCGAGCCGAGCTCTGCGTGTCGGCACGCGCCAAATTCGCGCGCGGCGAAAGCACCTCATCCGCAACACCTTGATAAACTAATAAATAAGCAGCATCTTCTCCGTCTTCTCTCTTGATAATGTGAGACAATTGCTTGTTATAATTTTAAGGTTAACTGTGATAACATTACATACAGCAGAATAAAGATTGTTAAAATTGAAATAATTTAATGAAATTTTCAGGTAGCTGTTGTACACAGTTGTGGAATATGCCAAGAAATTGTTAATGAAAAAAGCATTCCGACTCATACTTGTGTAGAGGGATACACCCGGCTGTTTATCGATGAAAATTTTTCTTTCTATCCAGTAACAGGTATAATATATACTTAATTATATATATATATATATATCATTTTTACGTTTCATCATTGAATAGAATAGTATTCTACTAATATTTATACTATTATCTGTAGATGATAATCACATTATTCGACGAAGCCTTGTCAATAACAAAGAAGTCGTCTTACCTGTTCATGAAAACATTCCAGGTAAATAAAAATTTTGAAATCTTGAGAATTGCAGTAATGAGTCTGCATTTTCTGATGAAATTGATTTTAGGAACTATTAAAATGCTTTCGGCAATAGACAAAAAAGCATTACAGAAGGAAAACGACAGTAGATCTCTCAATAAGAGACACGATCGAAGAGCCATGAAGTCTACGTTGAATTATGACGACGAGGAAGTCTTAATTTTATCCGTGCAAGAAAGACGACCCCTCTGGGATTTTACTATTCCACTAGAGCAACGATGCCAACGGGTGACAAAAACACTGTGGAATGAAGTATCTGAAGCATTAGGAGGTAAAGAAACGTTAAAAACATTCATCTGAAATACTCCCTGGTAATACAATCTAGTAGCTCAGATACGTCCCGAAGAAGTGCGCAAAAGACAGTCCAAAATTGCGACAGAAGTGCATAATATCTCTTATTGAACGAGTATTTACTGTATTATCGCAGCAGTCTGCTGTAAGAAGCTACTGTCAAATATGATTGAAATTTGACAGCAGACTGCTGCAATAATACAGTAAATACTCGTTCGATAAAATATTATGTACTTCTGACGCAATTTTGGACTGTTTTTCTTTTTGCGTACTTCTTCGGGACGTATCTAAGCTACCAGATTGTGTTATCAGGGCTTCTACGGTGCTTTCCAGTTGCTACTTACGCTAGTGTACACTGAGTGCACACTAAAGGTTGTTTAAAATAAATTCTTATACTTAGGTATTGTCTTAAATACCTCTTGAAATGTTTCTTCGTCAATAAAATGATCTATACAGCATCGTACGGATCGTTCTTTTGACTAAATAGTTTCTGAAAAGTTCTTATTTAAGTCGAACTTAAATGTAAGAATTGACTATGAACAAGCCTTAGTGTGCACTCAGTGTACACGAATGTAAGTAACTAAACTTGCGATTAACAAAATTTCTTACAGGCAAACTTAGTGGGGAAGAAGCAAAAAAGAAATTTAAAAATTTTTATGACGCCTACCGACGAATAATTCACGCAGAAAATCACCCTAGTGGATCGGCTAGACCTCCTCTTACAAAAAAATGGCATCATTATGACACCATGGAGTTTTTGCGCGATCGGTGTCTTGTCAAAAAGTAAAAAGGAAATATTTTGACTATGTATATACGCTTTCGAACTGTTTTGTTTTTTACTTGTAATTTTTATATTTCTAGGGGAAGAGTTTCTAATATTGACGTTGATGGTGACTGTTCAAGTAGTATTGGCGAATCAATAAATAGTAGTGATGAAACTGGCGATGACAACGAGCAATTAGAGTTTGAAACATCAGGTACTTACATTAATATCTATCTTGTGTTGTTTCATGCCAATGTGATCTTTACAGAAACCAGATGTGTAGGAGTAATGTGACCCTTAAGGAATAATAAAAGCTCTTTAATATTATTATATTATTAATAATCAAATATAACAATAATAATAAACAACCAATAAATTGCAGGTGTGCCAACTAAAAGAAAGAAAAGTTTGGGACACCAGTCCAGTGCACTGGAAAGGATTGCCGATTCACTCTGTCAACCACCAACACCATTTGTAATACCACCAGCACCCAAACTCGATGAAATTGATTCAGCTGTAGCAGTTATTGGATGCAGGTTGAGACAGATGAGTCGAATAAATCAATTACATAGATGTAATTCAGCAAATAATGAACCTAACTTATGAAATACTTAAACGAGAAGATTAAGCCGTGTTGATTTTAATAGTGTTTGCATTAAAAGCTGTTTTTTTAATATTTGAGCATTTCTTTTAATATTAAAAACCATAAAAACAGCGGTTTTTAATGCAAATACCTATTTTTCTAGTAAAGAATATGTATGTTTAGATTTATTTAGATAGATTTTGTTTAATTCTATTTAATTATATTGTTTTGTTCAAATACGTTTTGTTTAATTATTTAATTCTATTCTTTTGGTTCAAATACATACATATAAATGTTTATAATAAAATTTAAAACGGTTGTCATGTGCTTGTAATAAAGTTTAAATCCATTAAAATTTCATGGTTTTTATTTTATCACACGTTTTCAAATTAAATTGTATATTTTTTTAACGAACATACAATGGCTTTAACAATGATTAAATTGCCATGGTATAGCGCCTTCACTATTAAAATATTTACAAAATTCTTCTCGAATCTGCATTGCTCGACGAGAACTATTATTAGAACCGCAGTGAGTTATGTCCATAAATGCACTATTATTTATGCAAGCTCTCCAAGAGCCTGGGACAAAGCCATCATAATCCTCCTGATCAATTAGTGTTGGAATAACATATTCGTTTTTTCCAATATCCCTTCAACGAATCCAATTATGGAGACATACAATGGCTTTAACAATTGAAATTGTTTTTTCCATACTACAATTGATCGGTCGCTTTAAAATTCTCCATTGGCTGACTAAGATACCAAACGTATTTTCAATTGTTCTTCTGGCTCGACTCAACCGATAGTTATAAATATTTCGCTCGTCATTTAAACCGCCTTTTCCTGGATAAGGCCGGAGCAAATAATCCGTCAATTGAAAGGCTTCATCACCCACCAGAACATATGGTAAAGGCGGTCCACCTGGACTGAGAGGTTCTGGTGTAGGTACATTCATTTCCTTTAAATTAAATTTTAGACCCATCTTTGAATTTTTGAAAACGCCCCCGTCACTACAGCGACCGTAGGCTCCTATATCAATGAATGTGAACATATATTGTGCGTCACAGATTCCAAGGAGCACAATACTATGACTATTTTTATAGTTATAGTAAGACGATCTTGCATTAGATGGACACTAAAAAAAGATTATTTAGGTATTAAACTGTAATCTTCAATGACAATATGTATATGAATTGATCAGTAATATTACCTCAATAGTAACATGTTTGCCGTCAATTGCTCCTATGCACTGATTAAAATTCCATCTTCCTTCAAATTCTTCAGCAAGACGTAGCCACTCTTCTGTACTTTTTGATGGTGGGAGCACTTCCTGGCAAATAGAGTTCCATATAGCATTACATGTTTCACCTATAATGTGGCTTATTGTCGATACTCCAGCGAGATAATGGCACGACATTGAATGCATTGAATCACCAGTTGATAAATACCTAAATATAATTAGATCAAATATTTTATTAATTTTTCTAATTCATGAAGTAATGCAATTACAAGGACAAACGAACCTTAATGTTATGGATAGTCGTTCTGCAGGAGGTAATGGTTCCCTAATGACGGTTTGTTTAATGATTGCAGGTGCCACTAAGTGCAACAATTCTTCAAATTGCGTAGCTGTCATACGATAATAATTTTGGAACTTCTCTGGTGTTAGTTTCGGCATAGATGCATAATAAAACCCATGTTTACGTCGTCCTTCAAATAATGGATCAATCCAAAATCTCTTTTTTTAATATTTTTTCTTATATTTGTATGTACATTCGCTGATGCAAACAGCTACTATTAACTTATTTCGTCGTCGTTCCTCTTCATTTTTGCACCATCGCGGCAAGTTGACAGGTCCACTCGTGATACCTTTCTTCATACGACATTTTGGAGAATTTATTGACATCGCCAGTTGCATCACTACTATTTATTGATTCGCCAATACTACTTGAACAGTCACCATCAACGTCAATATTAAAAACTCTTCCCCTAGAAATATAAAAATTACAAGTAAAAACAAAACAGTTCGAAATCGTATATACATAGTCAAAATATATCCTTTTTACTTTTTGACAAGACACAGATCGCGCAAAAACTCCATGGTGTCATAATGATGCCATTTTTTTGTAAGAGGAGGTCTAGCCGATCCACTAGGGTGATTTTCTGCGTGAATTATTCGTCGGTAGGCGTCATGAAAATTTTTAAATTTCTTTTTTGCTTCTTCCCCACTAAGTTTGCCTGTAAGAAATTTTGTTAATCGCAAGTTTAGTTACTTACATTCGTGTACACTGAGTGCACACTAAGGCTTGTTCATAGTCAATTCTTACATTTAAGTTCGACTTAAATAAGAACTTTTC